GTGCTTCAAATCTGGCAAGGCCTCAAATGTTTGCAGGCGAAGACAGAAAGAAAAAGGAACAAAAACCTCCTGGGTAGGAATTAATGAAAACCCAAGACCTGAGAAATTTCAGCATCATGTCAAGTAAAGACACTTGTTTTTAACCCTTCAAAATCTCAATAATCTAATATGAGATGTGGACAAATCTCTCCTATTGCATTTTGAACATCACTAAGCATTTAGCAATGTTTTTTCTCTCAGTACCTATAAAGACAAGATAATGTGGAATTGGACACATTCAAATACAACGTAAGAAGTTTTCTAATCTACTGGCCTAGAAAGAGAGCCACTTATCCAACCTTTTCATGTTCTGAGCTGGGTGGTCAGACAGCATTCAAGCTCAGGTCATCAGGAGCATTTTATTGACTGGAAAAGGGGAATCCAAGCAGGAGCCCTTCAAATGAGTTGGTATGCAATATCAATAAAGAAAGAAAGACAATTGAGACCCTGCTCTCCTCAGCACCATCTGCGGTGGGAAGATGTAAAGTCCTACACACCAGAGCTTCTTGTCAGCCTTCATTTTCCAGGAAGCCCGTCTCTGGTCTGAAAAGCCTCTTACGGCACCACGCTCAGGGTTCTAGTAGGCCTGGTGACACGGCCAGCCACCCACGCATGGCAGAGAGGATCCTGAACAATTCCAGTCAGCTCAGCCTCCCAGGGGACCGAGAGCTGGGACTAAAATTAATTCCTCATGCTGAAGTCACCTTTCACCTCCCCTCACTTGTTGCCACCACTGCATTATGTCAAGACAGTAATCAGAGACTTTATAAGGAACATTTGTTAGTGCCCAGATGCCAGCTCTGGGCTGATTTTTCTTTTACTTCCCTCTCCTGCTCCTTAGCCTTTCTATTTTCAGGTTCAAAGAAAGAAGTTGCTTTTGAGTTCTATACCCAGAATTAAGTGATATAAGATCCCAGTAGCCATAGAACTACTTTCATTTGGATCCTTCCTGATTTACAAAGAGCCAATGCTGCATGCCCTGTGCCCAGCTGGTTTCTAAATATTTCACAGTGGGATGTTTTAGTAGAGCCACATAAAATCCTATGAATGTCCATGAGAAGATTCTGGAGTTGACCCATTCATCCTGATACACAGACACCTGTTGAGCAGGAACAATTCCCTGATAGCATGCCCTCAAAATGAGATAACTTATGTAAATATTCTGTAGGAGCTACTCCATATTTCTTTACTGTTTAAACATCAGCAATAGACAAGTAGCACAACCAAACTCCTTTTCATAGTTGTCATACTTATCACTATCAATAAAAGAGGATAGCTTGGAAGAAGAATACATCCCTTTTGTAGAAATTGTGTCAAGCTTGCCTGACCAGATGTCTTTGTTCTCTGATGCCCAGATACAGGGTGTATTTTAATCTTAGGGTTTAATATAAATTAAACATTGCCAGATTGCTCTAATGGTGCTTTAAATTTAGTTAAGTGGATCCTTTCAGTAGCACAGGGAAGCAGGAGGAAGAGAAAATAAGGTATCCAAAGGTCAAGAGGTAACCATTCCTAAGAAGTCTTGGAAGACTGGAATATAAAACTAGGTTGGGGGCACCTGGGTGGCTCAGTCAGTCAAGAGTCCAACGCTTGATTTTGGCTCAGGTCATGATCTCAGGGTCATGAGATTGAGGAGCCCCACATCAGGCTCTGAGCTGGGCATGGAACCTGTGTAAGATTCTTTCTCTCTCCCTCTCCTTCTGCCCCTCCTCCTAGCCTTCCCCCACCCCGCCACTCTTGCTCACTTATGCTCTCTCTCAAAAATAAATTAATTAATTAATTTAAAAAACTAGATTGTTCCAAATAAACGTTTACCCTTTAAAAAAACAAGAAAAATAAAAATAAAACTAGGATGTTGGACTTCCCATTACTACTTTCCAATCTAGGCAATGAAGTATGATGATGACTACTTCAAATACTTAGTATTCTTTCAGTTGCCTCATGGAAGCACATTACTATAGTTGTGAGAAGGACAGCTTGGACTCAATAGAAATGAGCCTTTTAGCACAGTTAAAAAAAAAAAAAAAACTTTTCTTTTTAAAAGGATTTTCGACTCCACATCTCACAATAACCACCTTTCTGTGGTTATGGGTACTGACCTATGTAATAGATACTTTTAAAAAAAAGAAGTTTAAGATGACACAAGAAGAGAGATGCTCATTTCTATCCATGCACTCTTCAAAATATCCCCCAATTTTTGTGGGAACAAGAGTGGAAATTGTGCGCAGTTGAGAACAGGGAATATGGTCTTAGTTCTGTCCCATGTTTACTATGTGACCTTAGGAAAAACACAGCATCTTCCTGCGTCTCTTTTTAAATTTGAAATGGAGAATAAGAATGTCCACCCTACCTAATTTGTGGGCTGTCTAATGGCCACAGTGAAGTCATCTGTATGAGTGAAGACATCATAGTAAAAAACGCCACCCAAATATTTGGTCATTCTCATAGCTAACATTGATTATTGACTTAATTCACATTTTACATACATTCATTCAATCTACACATTAGCCCTGGAAAGTCAGTATTAACACAACCCCCTTTTATAGACCAGTAAACAGAGGTTGGGAGGTTAAATAGTTTGTCTCAAGTTACTGAGGGGAAACTGGATCCCACAAATAGGAAGAATAAACACTTAGAGAACTAAGAAAAAAGAGTAAAAGGTGAGAATTTGGGGAGAAAGAATATATTTTTAAAGCATTATAGTAATTATCAAAAAAGAAAAATCAAGAGTGTTAGAAATTCTTACAGTCATTTTATGGTATACTGTTGTATTTTGAATTGCATATGGGGAGAGGCACCAAATCATTTAGCACTTAGGGCCTTTCAAGGTTTTAATCCTGTCTTAGATGGCACCAAGGTACCAACTCCAGCCAGGTGACTCCAAAGCCCATACTTATAACTGCTCTACTGCATCATGCTCTGTAATAATAATACTTATTATAACTAAGTAACCGTTGCCAATAATTACTAGTAATAAGCATTTTCAGTGGTAAGCATTGCCATTCAAGAAAAGTTTATTCTGTTTTGAAAACATAGTAAGCAACCCATAATCTGGATCTCAAGATACAAAGAGAAAGGCACACAGCGAGAGTCACTGGTTTTCTTACTGTGGCTTTTAAATGACCATTAAAGAGTCTTCAGCAAACTTGTGGGTTCTATATTGGCTCAGGGCAAGGGGTTAACAACAATTTAGAAATCTTTGAAATTCCTAATAGAAACACAACAAACCCTACAGCAGCATTAGCAGGGCCAGTGATAACATTCATGGAGAGAGAGAGTGAGTTTTCTGAGAAACAGATGAACAGCTTTTAAGATCTTAGGCTATTTGGATTCCCATGCCCACCCATCCCCCAGACTTTAAGCACGAAACATTTAAAAATCAGGTCTATTAGTGTCTAGCGAATTTGGATGATGATAAGAATTCATAGTAGCTGCTAACACCTCTGGCTCTCTTCAAAGTCTCAAAGATAAACACATAAGGTCATTTTTGTGCCTTAATCTGAGAAGTACTAAGTGTATGACAAGAGACTCCCAGCAAAGGCTGAGCTGGATGTTGTATGGAGACTGAGATGGTAGATAAATGGGTAGGCGGGGCTTTTCATATCAATAGCTTGGGAGTCTTGTATGTATGCTTTTTGTAGATGCTCCCATAATCCTTAAACCAGGCACAGGAAAACTCTGGTTATTCGGCGGGGTGGGGGGAAGGACAGTAGCACAATTACCTCTGATTGGCTTTTAAAGAAAATTAATGCTGAATTAGGCATGAAAATTACAGCCTTCGAGTCATTCAAAATTCTTGGGCCACAAATAAGCAAATTTACTTTATGTATTTCTCCCAAGTGTGATGATTATTAGCTAAACAGCTCTTAAAAACTTCTGAAAATGTGCTTTGGGCTTCCTTATCTCTGTGCTCGCTTCACTATTAAGGAAGTGAGAGGACAGCAGTAAGAGAATTATGGGGAGTTTGAAGCATTGGAGAGAGAGAGAGAGAGGGTGAAACAGCATCATGCCCACATTAGTGAAAAGTTCAATATTCTGAGCCAGTCTCTTACATCCACCAAGTGATAATGCAACTGTGGAATAAAGGCCCTTAGCCAAAGTATTTTCCCTTCCATTCTTGGAACTTTTTTGATCAGGGTTCAGGGCTCTTTTGCTAGGAGAAGTGAGAGATGAGAGGGAAAGCTAAAGAATGATTTGAATGACCTCTTTAAAATAAGGCAACCTTTCCTCCCATTGCCCTTGATTTGGCCATCTGGCTCTGGGAGTTTGCTGGCAAATGCTCCTTGACCATAAAATTTAAACAGATGATTAACCCCTCTCCCTCCCACACCAGCATGCTTGTTATTAAAATGCCTACTAGGACCGACCTCTGAATATCAAGGCAGGCCTAGTGTAAATGAAAGAAAAAATGGGCAAAGTCAACCAAATGAATGAAACCCCACCCTTCGTTTCTCTCTCATCATTATCCTGACTTGATGTTCATCACTTTAAGTTTAGTAAACTTCCTTTTACAGTCTTTCTGAAATCTCTGACCATCTGTACCTTCAACCTTACCTGCCTAAATGGCACCACAGAGTCCAGATAACAAAGGGATTATTCTGTGATTATCGACGATAGCTCACGATGGAGATGGCACCCCTTCCCTCCACGGGTCATCAGTTGCAATGCCCTGGAAAGCCTACAGCCATTGTCTTTAGTATGAGCCAGTCAGGCAGTATTGGTCAGGTTGACAAAAAGTATTCAGTGCATAGTTAGTAAGTCTCCAGAAGCTCCCTATGCTGAACCAAGCCCTAACATGATAATTCATCTTGTCCTACAAAAAAAAAAAAAAAAAATACATGAATGATGTGCTTAGTATTCAGTGTTTTATGATTTGGTGACAGTCATGAAAAGGTTGCCATTTAGGAGTAAGAATGGGAGAGCCGAAGAGAGTCTGTGGTCACTGAGAGTACAACACGTACCTGTGGGATAATGCTCATTCACTGGCCAGTTGTCCACCTGGAGTGTGGCATTGCCGCCGTTCCTGGTGAAGCGCACCACATGATATTTACCATCATTGACGGGAGTTCTCTCCTCCTTGATAGAGATATCAACTGTGCCAATATTGAAGACAACTCCGATTTTCCCCTGTTCCTGTGATAAAGAAACACAAAAGGCATAGTTAGCACCAGCCACAAGGTGTTCTCCCTTTAAAGTGGGTCCTCCAACTAGCAATAAATCTGTAGGTACCCAGAGGGAGCTGGCAGCATGAAGGTAACAACAGTATCCTACATTTCTCCATGGGCTTTCATCCTGAACATAGAAACCAATGGCATAAAGCCACCCAGATTGCTCTCACGGGCTGCCCTGCACAGCTTACATCATTTGCTTGCTCTCCACAGATAGCAAAGCTGGAAACCACAGAACTACCTAAGAGCTGTGTAGTGACACTGTGAAGTGCGTTTCTGTGAGAGCAATGAGGCCAATTTTCTAGGAGAGGTAATTAGACCCTGGACCCTAGATCGCCTCACAGTTTAGATTTAGGATTAAAGAGGAAGTATAAGCATACTTGCACATTTTGGGGGGGGGTCAAGGCCAAGGGAAGGGGTACAATGAATGATGAGGAGGCAATGGCAGAGGGGCTAGCATCATGGATCAACACCCAAGGATACGCTGTGCAAGTCTCAAACCCATAGAAAACGTATCCTCAGTAGAGGCCAGTGAAACTGAGCTGGGGTTTTCAGAGTCAGATGGCTGCTACTCTTCCCACACGTGTAGCCCTATTCCTAAGGCTCATCCAAAGAGGGCCGTAACATTCAGTGCTAAAGCTTTATGCTACATAGCACACGAGAACCCAATGGCCCAAAAAGAGACTTCTGGGAGGGAAAATACAATGAATGCCAGAAGAGAAATACTATGGCAATGAAGGTGATGATTATGGTGAAGGTAGAGGCGATGGCATCATCTGCTTCCTGAAAGTGCCCAGAAATACTGAAACATAAATGCTATTAAAACTCTTACTCTTCTCCTATAGTCATTGGTTATGACTATGAGTTAGAATTAGTATTCGCAATGAGACACAACACAAAAGTAACCTTCCTGGTCAGATATAATCAGTCTCTGCCAACCTCCTAGGAAGGTGTCACAGCATGCAGGACGTCAGGAGGGATGGGCAAGGGGAGGAGGAGACATCTTTCTCCATTTCTCTAGTTGTCTGACTTCTTGGCTAAGCAATAGGTTGGACATTCAAGGACAATAAAATTTAGTGGCAACTCTGATGTTCTATTTGTCCACATAGTCCCTGTTACCCTCCCTGTTCTCATTCAAGAAGTAGGAGGAGAATAAAGAGGAGGAGGGGGAGGGGGAGAAGGGTAAGAAAAAGAAAGATACGAAGAAAGAAGCCCAGGAGCCGTATAAACTAAGTGTAGGAAAGATTTCATGGTTGGGTTCATTCGTTTATAAATATTCATTCAATACATAAATATGATATTTATGAAGCACCGATTGTGCTTAAAGTCAGTGAATTAAGACTTCTGGTGAGGGGTGCCTGGGTGGCTCAGTCGTTAAGTGTCTGCCTTCAGCTCAGGTCATGGTCCCGGGGTCCTGGGATCGAGCCCCGCATCGGGTTCCCTGCTCGGCGGGAGGCCTGCTTCTCCCTCTCCCACTCCCCCTGCTTGTGTTCCCTCTTCTCGCTGTGTCTCTCTCTGTCAAATAAATAAATAAAATCTTAAAAAAAAAAAAAAAAAGACTTCTGGTGAGATTTTAGGCACTGGTTTCCAGATAGTTTGGTACACCTCACTTCTTTTTTCAAAAGACAGGCTTTCTTTATCTTGCCAATTTTCCTTTAGTATGCGAACACATCTTATTCCCGATAAAATAATGGACAAGTACCCAGGAGTCTTGATTTTAGAAGGTAGGCATCTAAGCTAAGAAAGGCTGCTTTCGGCATGCAGGAATGCTCTGATACGGGGTGGACATCGCTGTCTCCTTTGTGCCCGGAGAGCACAGAGTGCAATGTAAAATGATGTCTGCAATCCCCATGTTCTGTTCTCTGAGAAAAGAAATGCAGGTGCCTCCCCAAATGGGGACTAAATGTACTTATGATTTTGTAAATCCCTGTTTATTGTGACACTGTTCTCAGGGTTTTTTTTTCTTTCCTCACCCCTACATCTCCAGCCCTAAACAAAGCACTTAGCATTAAAATGGAGAAATGAAACTGATGATCGGTTCTTTTGCATCTTTCATGCCCATAATTAATAATGTGATGATCCATTTTATTCTTTCTCTTTAATTCTCTAGGAATTCAGAAATGGTATTATGATTTTCCTGCTTCCCCCTACTTAAAGCGTTGGCATTCATGTCTAAGGGTGTGTGTGTGTGTGTGTGTGTGTGTGTGTGTGTGTGTGTGTGTGTGTGCACCTATTCATCCTTAGGCCTAGATAAGCAAGGCTATAGTAACCTGCGTCATAACTGGTTTAGCAGAATGAGGGAACCGGAGGAGTTAAGAAACCATGACTGCAGACACCATTACTCCTCTGCCCACCCCGCAGATGTGGGCTGCTTATTGCACCACTGTTCTTCAATGAGAAACCACTATATAAATCCTGGATGCACGGAAAGGGCTGCTGGCGATTCAATTCACCTCTGAGTCACTAATTAATCATGGATGGAGAACAGTTTTAGGTAGAGAGGGGACCTTTAAACCAGAAGTAGCATCGGGCGGTTCTGGCTCAGGGAGTTGGCTGATCAGTGAGATATATTCTTGGGCAGATTTTCTGCAAGATCCATAATAGATTCAGGGAAAGCAAAGATTTAATCTCTGCCAGAATAAATATTTGGTCCTTATCAGAGGCGCCACATATTTGGCACTGCAATCACTGCTTCAGAGACATCTTCTTAATCCTGCTAGCACTACGGCCAATGTCAGTGGAGACCCCTACCCAGATGCCGCACTGTGTTTCCCCACAGCGGGACATGTGGCTGTGTTAGACCTCAGATGCTGTCTCTTTACTTGCAGTAATAAGATTTCATTACTGCAACCTCCTTGTCATTTGTCATGGGACCACAGTGGCATTATAATGTGTGGCTAACTGCTTTGTCTCAGTTCATTATAAGTCTTACGGCAAGTACCCATAGACTTGCCTAGGCTTGAATCCCTCACGCTCAGCTGCCATGAAAATAAACTCGGCTGGCTCAGGTGTCCAGAGAGGAGACGATTTGAGGGATAAAAAGCACTGGCTTTGTAAACAGCCCTGACTGACCTTTGGGCAAGTCACTTAACTTTTCTGAACCCTTTCTTAATAATGTATGATGGGGACAGGATACCAGCTCCCCAGACTTCCTAGGGCCGTTATAAGGCTAAAATGATGCGATTATAATGATTCGTATGATAGCACTTTATACTATTAATAAATAAAATATTATTCAAGTAAAAGGGATAAATGGAGATCAGGAGAAGGAACAATCCAAACATTTGACCATATGTCACACCCTGTGAGCACTGGGGAAGTTACTGGTTCAATAGGATAAACACGGTTTTAGCATGGCACAGTTCAAATAATACCTCTCTCTGGCTCTGAAGGCTCAATGACCTTGGGCAGGTTATTTAACTTCTGATTTCCCTACTATAAAGGGATCTGTGGAGGAAGAGAAAGGCGAATTGCTACCTTTGAAGCTTGTTGCGAGGATTTTAGGAGAATACGTATGTGTGAAACTCCCACAGCACGTGGCTCTGCTTACTTTGGGACTAAAATAAATGTCAGTCATCTTTTCGCTTTCTTTCCCCTCATTAGTATAGTTGAAAGTGGCGGTGGGAGCTAAGGGCTGGCTGGTTTGGCGATAGTGTCATCAAGAAATATTGTAAAAATAAATGTAAATTTTAGCAAACAGAACATTAAAAAAACAACATTTGCATGGTTGAGTTCCTGTCACAATTTGGTAGTTGCTCTCTCTTCACATTTCTCGGTATCTTTTAGAAGCCTTTCCAAGGCAAGCAAAGTATATCTGCAAAAACAGCATGACTATAAATTTTAATAACTCCACACCCATCACCACTAAAGTTGCTACCAAAGGCAATCACTTCCATCTATGTTCTTCCTTGATATTAAAAACACAGACAAGTGGTAAATCAGAAGACATTACCAAAGAGTCCTCAAGTGCAATAAAAAAAAAAGTCTGTTAAAAAAAAAAAACACAAAACAGTCTGAACGGCACAAGAAAACAGCTGTCTGTAAATAGCCAGTAAATCCATTCTTCATCAATAATGACTGTTTACGAGCCCACCTGGTTCCTCAAATTAGTCCGGCTCCAGCTTTCTGACTTTCCATCAGCCACATTACAGTTATTGCTGTGGAGGTGACCCATGAGATACTACCAACACCAGGGTCAGACTTCAGAAGCAGAGATGCACAAGGGCAAGAAAAATCCTCAGGAATAAAGACCTCCCTGCAGGCAATCTCTTCATTCATTCCACGGTGCCCCCGGGGAAGGCAAAATGCACCATCCACTATTTTAGACAATTACAGCTGACAGAAACAGAAGTGGGACTCTCAAAAGTATGCCCAGGAGATGTGCAAAGGAAGCAGTTCTCAATATCTTGACTTCTAGGCTTCCCACAGAATCTGGGAGTTCAGTGCTAGGCAAGGAAGAACAACAGGTATGTGATCCTTCTTGGGGCCAGACACTGCCAGGTCTGGCATACCTGTTCCAAAGTCTGGGTCACAATAAATAAAACAATCAGTGGCAGCGTTTACTACATTTTTCTAGTTTCCCCCCATTATCAGCTCATAGTAAAAGAGGATTTCTTAGGTCTCCTTGTGATGTGTAGGGCCAAGGGGACAGTGCTGACCAATAAATTAGGTGTCACTCCTGAGCCATGCATTAGACTGCTGGTGTGAGACCAACGAGAGTTCTCCCACTGGCTCTCAACCACTGTATCCAGCAAATTCCTGGCAGTGGCCTCTTTGTCAGCCTGGATCATTGAGTGAGAATGGCAACAAGCCAACTCGCGATGGACATGGCAAATGAGAAACAAAGCTTGATTGTTTTATGCCACCAAATATTGAAGCTGCTTGTTACGCAGTGTAATCCAGAGTACCTTGAAGAGCAGAGTAGGTGCTTGACAGGTACTTTTTAATAAAACAATTTTTGAATTC